GGGGATGATACAAATGATAAGCAACGATTCTAATGGTAAAAACTCTCTAGGGGAATAAAGGGTCCAAGTTACTTTAAGTAGCAAAAAAGGTGAAGTTAAGACTCAAGGGAAATGCTCATTCATTGTACACGGATGCAGCACTCTGTCTGAAGTAGAGAAGTAGTAAAATATCTTACTTACTAAGTTAAAATATAGGCTTTATATTTCATACGATATCGAATGCGCACATAAAAATACCAGTGTTTTTATCTTGTTTCTGTTCAGACACTTCTTAAGCAACTGTGTTCTTTGGTGCCGGGAGAATGTATCGGCATTTAGGGCTAATGGAACAGAAGACTCAAAATCCCACACCTCTAAGGGGAGAACCAGAGTGGGCGCAGGAGAGCAGTAAGGAAGCGGAAACAGCACTGCAGTAGGCTAATGCACTTCTTCCCGAGTCACACTCTGGCTCCCAGCTAGAAAGTCCTATAGCCTACCGGGCTTTCATCGGTTTTGAGATTTTCCTAGCGGGAAGGTATCCCAGATAGAAAGAGATCCTCCTAAGTTGTAAAATCAGCAAAGTCAGTGAGAAGAACGTACATTCACTCAATGTATTCAATATAAGTAAGGAAGTCTCGAAAAGGCTAAGCAGTTCAACCAGAGCTGAAGAAGTGTTCTTGATTTTTCATTATTCCTTTTTAAATAAAGACTAAGTATAGATATGGTCTACATACAGGTTGACATTCTGAGTCATTCAAAATAGTCACATCCCTTTGCTTGGTTTTGCAAGTTCCAGAAACTAATATTTAATACCATCCATAACACAGTATTTTCAGTAAGAAGAATTATAGAGCAATGAAAAATCAGAAGCAAGATGGCTCCTGGAGCCTCAGAACCTCTAAATATACACACATTAACAACCTGGGTTTTCTAAAGAAACACGTTTTAAGTAATGCTAGTTTAACCAATGGAGAAAAAACTTCTATCAAAATATACAATTTCCATTACAGACTAAAAGGCTAATATTAAAAAAATAGTTGTAGGCCAAAAAGTTTGCTTCTATGAATGACAGGCGTCATATGATCCCTTTGAAGACAAAAGCATCGGATGAGATCGGTTGCTCGCCCATGACCTTCTTCTTGGTGAGTGAGTGATGAATTCATAGACACTCAGTCTTTAGATGAAGGTACATCCACGCTTCTTCACCCAGATTTCCAGCCGGGAGACCACGCAATTCAGAACCTCAAGTGGGATTTATGCTTTACCATGTACCTGAAAAATAATATGACAACACGTTATAATGACTAAGGATTTTAGAACTTTTAGAAGGTTACATGTAAAGAAACTTAAAATCAACAGCGAGAGGCTGTCTGTCTCCTGGAAGCTGGCTGCCTTCACCTTGGGGAGAGGGGCTGCTGGAGGAAGCGAGCAGCAGCGTTCCTCTTGCTGAGTCTGTAAGAACGCCGGGCGAGGATGCTGAATGTTTCTCCTCACTATATTATACATTATAATCATCGGGTTACTTCAATCACCTGACTTTGAGGAAACCCGTAATAATCAGTGGGGGACTTAAGACCAAGGAAGTTAGATTTTAAAGGGCGCCTCAAAGAAAATACCAGGTTCAGGGGTATTAACTGTGACTGTCTGCTGTTCTTACAGGTCCCAGCTGTAAAACTCCTATTGCTGCAAAGGACCTTAAATCCTCTACACTAGGAATTAAATATATTCAGCAACTAAGTTCCTTTCACGGGCTGCCCACAACTCGAACACAGCCAGAGACCCCTCTGTGCTGCCAGAAAACACAGGGCTCTCGTCGTCCGCGCTCCCTAGTTGGACAGACACCAGGGTCAGAGGTCACCCAGCCCCCCAGCCAGACCAGGTCTTCGGGCTCGGGGGCTGGTGTGCTTTCTGGCGCGTGAGAAGCCCCTTCTCCACCGGACTCTGAACCAGCATCAGAGGCAGCTGCAAGTTACCGGCTGGAGACCCGCATCCAGGCAGACGAGGTGTGAGAAGAGGACACGGGGAGAAACGGCCCACAACTCTAAGGAACTTGGCCTCTAACTGACGAGCCAGGAGTCCCTACAACACAGCGGAAGGAGGGCATCTGAGGAGCAGAAATACCTATCCAGTGTTTCCCAGAAGCGTAAGAAAACCGGCCTGTCCAAGTGGCGCTTGTGGTAGCTGAGCTCCAGCACCGTCACGTCCCACTTCTGCACGTTGGGGTCTAGACGAACTTCATCGTATTTGAGGTGGAAGGCTTTAACTATATGGGGGAAATAACATTCTTTACTCAAAATGCCATCAAATGAAAGTACTTTAGAAAATAAATTAAAATACCCAACACAGACATCAGCAAAAAAAAACAAAACAAAAAACCTAAACTAAAACATAAAACAATTTTTCTTCCACCAACCGAAGCTATTATAACCAAAGTGATCTTTGCAATAGATGCTAAAACTGTGGCATCCTCAAAAAACATTCAGCGGACAAATATTTACTAAGGGTTCATACATGCCAGCCACCCGGGACTGAAAAGAGGACTAAGGCACAATGCAATGGGCCCCTGGAAAGTAAGACTATTAAATACAATACGATAAATGCAGGGTAGCAGAGAAACACAAAAGAGTACCTTACCCAACCATGGAATTCAGAAAAGGCTTGCATAGGCAGTGATGTCTAATCTAAGACCTAAAGGTGGAGTAAGAATTAGGCTAACACAGAAAGCAATAAGAGCATGCGCACAGAGACAACAGTTCACTCTAGAGCCTAAGGGAACTGAATGGAACCACACGTGCCAAGTCGCTCATGGAGGGAGCGAGTAAGAGGTAAGACCACCGCGGCCTGGAGCGATGCTGGCTCCCAGGCCGCAGGGAGGAGTCTGGACTTTAACCCACGCAAAGACTCCTGCCAAGTGCTGAGCAGAGAGCGATGGCACCACACACGAATCTAGAGGAGACAGGCGTGATCAGCTGGGGAGAGGCACGTATGGCAAGAAAGACATCAAGAATTAGAAAATTAAGGAGGGAGAACATGGGACTTGGTAAGAAATGATGGCAAGGAGGAAAGAAACACGAAGGCCTGTCGAGGTTCCCTGGAAGGAGATGATGAAATGCTGCCCCCTCAGTGCGGCTGCCCTTTCACAGGTGCACGTGACATGGAAGGTGTTTAGCTTTTCTTTCCATTTTTCTAACATAGGATGTGACTGCTGCTTTCACCAATATTGTCTAGTATGAGGGGTTTTGAGAGAATCTGATTAACTCTGTTAATTTCTGATAGTTACTTTATGGATTGTACCATATTGCTTGCTCAAGGCCCAATTTTTTATGGAAATCCCAAGTGAATCATTTGAGCCCACAGAAAAACAAACTATTTATAAATTATTTGCTTTTATAAATAAAGGACCTTTCATTGGACACATTACTTATTTTGAATTGAATTCAAGTTAATGAATTTAAACCAATTCATTATAGGAGCTTCAGGAAACCCATTTGCAAAATGGTTTTTATGGGTAAAAAATATTTTATTATTTTAAGTTTTAAAATTAAATAAATCAACATCTCAAGACCTCTTTATTCTGCTTATGTTTCACTTTCTAATTTTCTCAGCATGATTGCTTTAAGTCATTCTTAAAAATACAGGTTATATTTTTAAAAATGATTTGCCTAAAGCCACAAAGGCATACGGTATATAGTTCCCTTTGATAATTTCAATGGATTTAGTTTACATAATACTTATTTTTTCAACAGAAGAGACAACTTAGTAAATTAATACTGAAATATCAGAGTCCAAAAAGTTTAAGCCGCAATGAAGAAACATAAGGTTTCTCTCATCATACAAAATGTTTTATTAGCACAAAGCAATTGTGGTGAGAAAACGTACACCAAGACATGACCACAAGCAGCTTTCTTATTCCGAAAAAGACCGAAAGGATTAAGCCTCAGCAAAAAGCGAAGAAGAGACACTTCTCCACAGAGCCAGGCGCCTGGTGGCACGACGACCACCCGAGCGAAACCCGGCACACAGTGCAGGGCGGCTCCTTTCTGCAACTGCATGAATCTTGTCGACAGTTTTTTGTGGGAACAAAGAAGCAAAAAAATTAAAGCGGTGCCTTGAATAATATTTAGTAGATAGCATGATGGCATGTCAAGTGACAACATAATACAAACATTTATTAAATTAATTTTTTTTCTAAATGATAACTAGCAAAAATTTGAAGAAATCCTCATTTAAAAATCTTGATTACAAATGTATGCATATGCAGCCAACTCAAACATAAAAAAAATAACAGTTTAGAGAAGTGATATCCAGTTACAAGTTCAAATTTCTCATAATTCTGAAAAGGTTTTATTTGGCAATGTTATACAATCCAGTATTTAATATCTCCTCCCAAACTTTGTATTTTATTATTATGCAATATACAGAAAATATAGTTTTTGCCAAGGCCCATACAGATGCTCCCAAACACCCCGTTCCCTCCCCCTACCCTATACAGATATGATCATTTGAAATGTGT